GGAACGTCGAATTTAGTGGGGGTACATATTTAGTTTGTGTGCACGAGATTCCGAACGAATCCCGAGGGTCAAACGGGGACTTAAACTTTGGTGTTATATGTTGTTTCAGCTGCTGTGGTTTTTTAAAGCTGCAACATCAGTTGTTTCTTTCTTTTTTAAAGCCAAAACCAGTAGCCATTTTCCCCTAACTTGAAAAATACCCATTTCTCCATTTTTAGACTTTGAGAGCTCGAAAATAGGTGATTTCAAGTGGGTTTTCGCAAGGAATTCATTGGATTGTGGTGATTTGGAGCGTGCTCGGAAGGGTAAAACTCAAATTTGAGTTACTAGTTGAAGTGTTTTGAGGCAAGTGACTTCTAAACTTTGTTAAACTCTTAGACTACACATGACTACTTTCCTAATTGTGTTGGGGAGTAATGGGGATTGAGGATGGGTTTTATTTGTTGATTGAAATTGTTGTAAATGAAAGATGGGGAAATAAAACGAGCTAAATGTGTTATATGTGACTTGAATTTGTTGAATAAGTCATGTGATAACTCATATTGAGGGGATAGAAGAGCATGAGTAGGCTATGATTGATACAGACATTGATGTTGAGACAGATGATGTGTAATACTATGATGTGGTTTTGATATGGTTGTGATTGAGACAGATGATGTGCAATACTATGATGTGGTCGTGATAGTGGTTGTAATTGAGACAAATGATGTGTAATACTATGATGTGGCCGTGATATGGTTGTAATTGAGACAGATGATGTGTAATACTATGATGTGATCGTGATATGATTGTGATTAATGACATGTGCATATTCATTATTCATCCCATGTGTGAACTATCTGTTGCATGAGTTCTGAGACACTGATATGAGGATGGATGGATATGAGACACAGTTGAGACTAGCTCCGGCTAGAGATATATGAGATGGACTAGCTCCGGCTAGCGATTTGGATGCCGATGGGATCTGGTTCCGGCGGTGATACATGGTCCATGTGTGGCCCCCATGGGTTCTGATTTGAGTATTCAGCGCGGTCTGATTACGTCAACAGATGTGTATCTTAGGACAGACATGCATCACGACTACATGACATCATTATTGCATTTGCATCGCATTTGACTTCATCTTTGTCTGTGGTGTGTGGATTTTACCTATTTGTCCCTCTTCATGTGATATATGATTTATTTGCTCTTATATGAGGATATGAGGTTGATGTTGAGACATTGTTGGATATATCTGTTGATTATGGATTGTGTAGTATAAGTTGTTAGTTCGCTGTTAGGATGAAGTTTCAGTGGTTTGGTTGGGATTGAAAGGAGTTGTTTGTAGCTGCTAGTTTAGCTTAGTTTAATGTTACTTGCGAGTACCTGTTGCTTTTGGTACTCACCCTTGCTTCTACACAGTTGTGTAGGTCGACAGCTCTATCAGATCCGACTTTTTACTCATCTTCAGATTAGAGCTTCCAGACTTACTTGAGAGGTAGCGGTTCATTCCAGACGTGCCCTCAAGTTATCTATATTTACTGTTCTGTTCTATTCTAGAACTTTACTATGAGACTTGTATATTTTTATTCAGATTTCTATATTAGAGGTTTTGTACATGTGACAACCAATTCTGGGGTTATGTTGAGTTTATTTAAAGACTTCCGCTTATCTTTCTATCTTTATTCTTGTTTTATTAATTCCGTATCGTCGGGTTTTTGGGTGTTAGGTTAACGTGTTCGGTGGGGTTTGGGCACGTGCCATCACATCCGGTTTTGGGGTGTGACAATCAAGTTGTACACGTTTCTCTTCCCATTTTTACTCCTTATTTCACTCCCTCAATCTCTTCCTATTTTTACTCACTCAATCTCTTCCTATTTTCACTCCCTCAATCTTTACTTCCTTCATTTTTTAATTTTCAGATTTGTTCTCTCTCCTTTCAGTAAGATCGCTCCACAGTTATAGAAGCCTCTTATTCTGATCCCCATGTTTTACTAAATTCCTCATTTATTTCTTTGTATGCTGCAATTGTTTACTTTTTTTTAAGAATCAATTTTTCTTGCAATCAGTTGGAAGAGTTGGATTATTAATAACTTCTTTCACTTGCAATGGTTATATCAATGTCTTCATTTTATAGTTCTCTTCTTTAATTCAATTTCTTGTATATTTAAAATAATGTTTTTGTTTTGTACAATTGTAACTATAAATTAAGATTTTTTGACATTTACTTTTATCGAATTTGTAAGTAAATTATACTATAATTATTAGCAAAATTAAGATGATTTTTTTGTGAGTCGTTATGAGTTATAAACTTTTTTGTTTCTGATCTTAATTGCCAAATAACAATTAACTTTAGTAAACTTGTTTAAGTTTGCTTATATATATGCAAAATATTTTTAAATTTGTACGACACAAATATAATTTAATTGACTTATAAAAACAGAAATATGTATAACCTCACCTTTTGAATAAACAATAGAGAAAAGTAGTTGATATATGACATATGTTCATTTTTCTCTGTTACTTTGTATAAATTTTTCATCTATTTCTTATGATAATGAATATATACGTCAATGCAAAATAAGATTATTATCGTGTTAATGAGTGTCATCATGTATATTGATAATATTCCAATCATGGTCACATATATTCGAATTTATTTAAACTATGACATTTATTTTTATCAAATTTGTAAGTAAAATTATATTGTAATTATTAGCAAAATTGAAATGATTTTTTTTGTGAGTCACTATGAGTTATAAACTTTTTTGTTATTAGTCTTCATTGCCAAATAACAATTAACTTTAGTAAATAGAGGTTGTTTGTTTTTGTTAAAGTTTATTTACAACTTATGTATGCAAACTATTTTTAATTTGTACCAAAAGAAATTAAGAAGACAATGAAATTATTTTAGTAATTAGAGCCAAAGCTAGAAATTCAAATAACGCATTGAGGCAAAAATCAAAATTACAAAAATGTATTTGAGGCTTTTCATGGGACAAGGAACTTTTTCTTCATTGAACTATCTAAATAGGATTAACATTAATTATTTTCATAACTCAAATATAGAGCTTAAAAATATTCATATGAATTTATAAACTTATATACTCAATGATATAGGATACACGCGCAAAGCGCGTGCCAAGAGACTAGTGTTGTAAAATCACCATGAGTATTGAAGATAAGACGAACAAAAACAGAAAAGTGGTTGTTGAAAATATGATATTATCTATTTATAAGTAAGTGTAGTCTTATTTTATTGTTTATATGTTCCTCTGTCTGAGTAATTCTACTCGTTTTCCTGTCAGGCAAGTGTTCCTCTTGTACAACAATATTTTCTGGCCTTCTGCTTAGGAAGTTTGTCTAGCACTAATTCGAATATGAGAGAAATCAGAGAAATTTGAGAAGCTTTTAAGAGAATGTGTGATACAAATGTCTTACACGTTTCTTCTTCTTTTATATGCTCACTTTACAGTGCATATTCTTACATTTACCCAATGTGGTGAACATGTAGATACAACTCTATATTACACTTATCTCTTGTTATTTACATTTAGCTATCTGATTCTCCCCTCTAGCTGGTGCATACATGTAAACCTGTATAGGATTTGGTGAATATGTCTATAAGCTGATCAGTCGCCTTCCCAAACTTTATAACAGTGTCGTGAAAACATTTTTTGGGGAAGGGACAGTCGGTTTCTATATTCTTGGTCCTCTTGTCAGATGCTGCATACAATGGGATACAAGTATAACTTGATTATTGCACTCAAGTTTTGTTATGATCAATTTCAATTGTTAGAGAAAAATGTATTTCGGGTTTAACTACACCTAAAAGTTACGTCATGACATGAGGATTGCCGAAGACCACATAAAGAGATTACAACAATACATCCTCAACTGAAGTGAGACTAACATCTTATTGCTTGCACAGGGGGGAACATATGGAGTATGTATAACATAACATAGGGGCTAAACATTGGGTGACTAAACATTAGGGATGAACTTGAGTGAGATATCATTAAGTAAATGGACTTTGTGCCTAACCCAGTCCAAAAGGCTAATCCAAGATCATATAAGGGTACCTTTAACCAATGTGGTAAACTAACAGCAACCGTTTTCGATCCTTTTGGTGGTTGTTAATCTATGTGCTCATCGTTACCATAGTCACGACCCAATATTCTCTTTCTTCTATATAGCCCAATTGCCTGAAGTGTTATAGTATTTATAAGTAGAACGTATATAAAGAAGGTATCACTGTCCATTTTGCATCGTGATTGTCTATTTTTGTTGATAATCCTTTCCAAGAGCAGGCTTCCTACCCCAAAAGATGCAAATCATTGCATTCTAGTGAATACGACATGGCGAATACAAAAATTGATTCACAATAACAGTTGGAAAGGCATCATCAGGTCTAGTCACCTATAAGATAGTGTAAAACTAACCTTCTATATCTCTCTCTTGAGATTACTAAGAAGCACTAAGATGGGTCGTTTTCAAAAACTTTTTCATTCATAAATCAAACACTAAAATTTTTTTTCGGAAAACATTTTCCATGGAAAACATTTTCCTTCATACCAAACACACCCATAGTTAATACTTGGTTTCTCGGTACGTTTCACGAAACATTCATAGTTCTAATTGGTTCTGTAAATTTTGAGAAGTTGAACATCCCTCATGACAACATTTTGTTTTGATGTCTTCATAACAGGCTCTCATTCTTGCTCGGCTCCTTGGACGGAGTTTAAACCTAGATAATATGAAGGTTAGGATACATGTCACAATGTCTCTTTGTTTTGTTACTAATTCAATTAGCTTCAGAAACCTTGATGCATTTGCAATTCCCTTTTCAGATTGAAAGCTTGTATCCTGAAGAAATGGGACCAGATGTGATGCCTCTGGAAGACTTTCTAGTGAATGGCCTTCCCTTACTTGATCAGAAAATTGAAGATAGGATTAAATAAGCTTCTGCAAATGGAACAGTTCAAACTGAGCCATTTGCCTCAATGCTGGACTAGTTTTTAGGATTTCACTTCAGTTTATAATCAGTTTCCTTGTAATGAGCATTTTCTTTAAAATCTGAAAAACAGCTGATATTTCTTTATAATATTTCTTCGGAAAACCTTATATGATAGAACACCACAATATTCACCTTTTCGGTATAAGGTATTTAATGTTCCTTTATGTTATGTGTTCTTCTATTTTTCCCTCTTCTTTTTTTTTTTTGAAGTTAATCATCAATTGGGACATTGACCCAGATAAAAACCATAATGACATTAATATCTCTCAATTATTGAGAAAAAATTATGAAAAGAGAAAAATCAAATAGGCAACTTGACCTATTCTTAGGACTATTAATTTCATTTTATGAGAAGAGAAAAGAATTTTAAAAATGATGTTGGCCTTGTAATGAATAACCTACAGTTCCCTCCAACACCATCTTCGTTTATCTTTGTCGGACAGAGAAAATGATAAGGAAGAAAGTGTGAACATTTACCAAAATTCAAACAAGGAATTCAGCTCTATTAAATTCAAAATTCAAGAATGATTTATTTTTTCTAAAGAACAAATTTGGAGTCCCCACCCCCACCCCCTCTCTTGCTTCAATTATTGAATTGCAAAAGTAATGAACAGTCAAGGAACCAGACTGGCAGACTCCATCATTTTTTTTCTATGGCTGTGAGCTGCAGACTGTAGATAAAACATAGTTGTACCAATTACAAGCAAAAGAGAGAGAAATCATTCTTCATTACATATCACTCTTAGCTCTTAGCATTCAACAGGTAAAATAAAGTTGTTAGTAATTGAAGTTTGAAACATTTATCTTCTTAAAATCATTTTTTATTTCCTTGTTTTGCTTGCAGATTTCAGAAATGGAGGTAGTTGGTGGGGCATTTCTCTCTTCAGCTTTGAATGTTCTCTTTGATAGGCTTGTCTCTCATGGTGATCTGCTCAACATGTTTCGGAAGCATAAGGATCATGTTCAGCTCTTACACAAGCTGCAGGACAATTTGCTTGGTCTTCAGATTGTGCTAAGTGATGCAGAGAAAAAGCAAGCATCAAATCGACATGTGAGCCAATGGTTTAATAAGCTTCAGAGTGCTGTGGACGGTGCTGAAAACTTGATAGAACATGTCAACTATGAAGCTTTGAGGCTTAAGGTAGAAGGCCAGGATCAAAATCTTGCAGAAACAAGCAACAAACAAGTAAGTGATCTCAACCTGTGCTTGAGTGATGATTTTTTTCTTAACATAAAGGAGAAGTTGGAAGAAACCATTGAAACATTGGAGGTGTTGGAAAAGCAAATTGGTCGCCTTGGCTTAAAGGACCATTTTGGTTCGACTAAACAAGAAACTAGAACACCTTCAACTTCTTTGGTTGATGATTCTGATATCTTTGGAAGGCAGAATGATATAGAGGATTTGATTAACCGTTTATTGGCTGAAGATGCAAGTGGAAAAAAGCTGACTGTGGTTCCTATTGTTGGAATGGGCGGTGTGGGTAAGACAACACTTGCTAAAGCCGTTTACAATGATGAGAAGGTGAAGGACCATTTTGGTTTGAAAGCTTGGTTTTGTGTTTCTGAGGCATATGATGCTTTCAGAATAACAAAAGGTTTACTTCAAGAAATTGACTCATTTGACTTGAAGGCTGATGACAATCTTAATCAGCTACAAGTCAAATTGAAGGAAAGCTTAAAGGGAAAGAGGTTTCTAATTGTTTTAGATGATGTGTGGAATGACAACTACAGCGAGTGGGATGACTTGAGAAATGTTTTTGTACAAGGAGATATAGGAAGTAAGATCATTGTGACGACACGTAAAGAGAGTGTTTCCTTGATGATGGGTAGTGGGGCAATCACCGTGGGGACTCTGTCTGATGAAATCTCTTGGGATCTATTCAAACGACATTCACTAGAAAACAGGGATCCTAAAGAACATCCAGAACTTGAAGAGATTGGAAAACAAATTGCAGACAAGTGCAAAGGGTTGCCTTTAGCTCTAAAGGCACTTGCTGGTGTTTTACGCTGCAAATCAGAGGTGGATGAGTGGAGAGACATTTTAAGTAGTGAAATATGGGAGCTTCCAAGTTGTTCGAATGGTATATTACCAGCGCTGATGTTTGAGCTACAATGATCTTCCTGCACATTTGAAGCAATGTTTTGCTTATTGTGCAATATATCCCAAAGATTATCAATTTTGGAAAGACCAAATTATTCACCTGTGGATTGCTAATGGTCTTGTACAGCAGTTGCAATCAGGTAACCAATACTTTCTTGAGTTGAGATCAAGATCATTGTTCGAAAGGGTCCCAGAGTCTGAATGGAGACAGGAGGTATTCTTAATGCATGACCTTGTCAATGATTTGGCCCAAATTGCATCTTCAAATCTTTGTATAAGGTTGGAAGAGAACAAAGGATTGCACATCTTGGAACAATGTCGGCACATGTCCTATTCAATAGGAAAAGATGGTGACTTTGAGAAATTGAAATCACTCTTTAAATCAGAGCAGCTGAGGACATTACTTCCAATGGATCTCCAGCGCCCTGATTATGGCCGAAGTAAGCTTAGCAAGAGGGTGCTGCATAACATACTGCCAAGACTAACATCCTTAAGGGCATTATCATTGTCATGCTATCAGATTGTTGAGTTGCCGGATGCCTTGTTTATCAAATTAAAGCTCCTTAGATTTTTGGACCTTTCTGGGACATTGATTAAAAAGTTGCCAGATTCCATTTGTACATTGTATAACTTGGAGACACTTCTCCTGTCATTTTGTGTTGATCTTGAGGAGCTACCGCTGCAGATGGAGAAGTTGATTAACTTGCGTCATCTTGACATACTCGATACTTGTCGCTTGAAGATGCCGCTACATCTGAGCAAGATGAAAAGTCTCCATGGGCTAGTGGGAGCCAAGTTTCTTGTAGGTGGTCCTGGTGGTTTGAGAATGGAAGATTTGGGTGAAGTACATAACTTATATGAATCTCTATCAGTTGTAGAGTTGCAAAATGTGGTTGATAGAAGGGAAGCTGTGAAGGCAAAGATGTGGGAGAAGAATCATGTTGGGCAGTTATCTTTGGAGTGGAGTGAAAGTAGTAGTGCCAACAATTCACAAACTGAAAGAGACATAGTTGATGAGCTACGCCCACATAAAAACATAAAAGAAGTCGAAATCAGTGGATATAGAGGGCTAACATTTCCAAATTGGCTAGCTGATCTTTTGTTTCTTAAGCTGGTGAAATTGTCTCTTAGCTACTGCAAGGTCTGTTATTCCTTGCCAGCATTAGGACAACTCCCTTGTTTGAAAATCCTTTCCATTAAAGGGATGCATGGAATAACAGAGGTGACGGAAGAATTCTATGGCAGTTTGTCCTCCAAAAAGCCTTTTAACTGTCTTGAGGAAATTAGTTTTGAAGATATGCCGGAGTGGAAGCAATGGCACGTACCAGGAAATGGAGAGTTCCCTATACTTGAGAAGCTTTCCATTATAAATTGCCCTGAACTCAGTTTGGAGACACCCATCCAACTTTCAAGTTTAAAATGGTTTGAAGTTAGTGGTTGTCCAAAGGTTGGAGTTGTTTTTGATGATGCTCAACTACTTAGATCACAACTTGAGGGAATGAAGCAGATTGAGGTATTATATATTGGTGATTGTAAGTCTCTTACCTTCTTTCCTTTTAGCATACTGCCCACTACCTTGAAGAATATATGGATATCTGGTTGCCGGAAATTGAAATTGGAGCAGCCAGTTGGTGAGATGAGTATGTTTCTGGAGAATTTGAGACTGGATGGATGTAATTGTATAGATGATATATCACCCGAGTTGATCCCAAGCGCACATACATTGAATGTATCTAATTGCGACAACCTTACTAGGTTTTTGATTCCTACTGCCACTGAAAGTCTCTTCATTCGGAATTGTGAGAATGTTGAAAAACTTTCGGTGGCATGTGGTGGGACCCAGATGACGTATTTGTATATTGACGACTGTTCAAAGCTGAAGTGGCTGCCAGAACGTATGCAGGAACTCCTTCCATCTCTTAAGGAACTGCAACTGATTAATTGTCCAGAAATAGAGTCCTTTCCTCAAGGAGGATTGCCCTTCAATTTACAACAACTTGCGATCAACAATTGCACGAAACTGGTGAATGGCCGAAAGGAGTGGCATTTACAGAGACTCCCCTGTCTCACACAGTTAATCATCTCTCATGATGGCAGTGACGAAGAGATTGTTGGTGGTGAGAATTGGGAGTTGCCTTCCTCTATTCAAACACTTATCATAAACAATCTGAAAACATTAAGCAGCCAAGTTCTCAAAAGCCTCACCTCTCTTCAATATCTATGTATTAAGGGTAATTTACCTCAAATTCAGTCAATGCTGGAACAAGGCCAGTTTTCCTCGCTTCAAAGTCTACACATCGAGGATATCCCTAATCTCCAATCACTTTCCGAATCAGCACTGCCCTCCTCCCTCTCTCAGCTGACCATCATCAATTGCCCTAATCTCCAATCACTTCCTGAATCAGCACTGCCCTCCTCCCTCTCTCAGCTGGAGATCTCCCATTGCCCTAATCTGCAATCTCTTCCAGTAAAAGGGATGCCATCTTCACTCTCTACACTATCAATTTCCAAATGCCCATTACTCACACCACTACTAGAATTTGTCAAGGGGAAATACTGGCCAGAAATTGCTCATTTCCCCACAATAGAGATCGATGAGGAATGCCTTTAATGATTAAAACAAACGGTGCTCTCACAAATGTAAGTTTTTATTTCTCCTCAGAGGCTTTCTATTTTTGTTTACTTCCCTTTGTTTTTTTTTGTCAATTCTTTTACTTTTTTGAAATATTGTTGAGCAGTGTGGAACGTCTATTGCTCAAATCATAAATGTTGATTGGGAAAACCTGTAATGATTAAAACGAATGTTGCTCCGATAGATGTAAGTTATTCTATTTCCTTAGTATATTTTGATTGTTTGTTAATTCTCTTTGCTTGTTTGTTAATTCTTTTTGACCAGTGTGTACCATCTATTGCTTCTGTGGAGTCGACAAAATATCTTTAGATCAGGATGAAATCTTTATATTATATTTGTAAAAGAAATCTAGTATAGGTAGGAATTGAGATAATTTGCTCAATAAAATCTTTATATCTTTTTGTTTTGATATTCAGAGAACTTCGAAGATTATAAAGTTTCCTTTAAATTATGTCCATTACTCAAACTTGAGTGACACCTCAGAGCTAGCGGAAAGTGAAGGAAGTATATCCTGCTCGGGATGAATTCAAGGTTAGATAACACAATTATGATTTACTTGTGTTTCAGTTACTAAGATGTTGTCTATTTATAATTAAGTGTAGTTTTACTTTTTTGTTTATATGTTGCTCTTTCTATGAGTAATTGCTACTCATTTTCCTGTCAGGCAAGTTTGTCTGGTACAATAATATTTTCTGGCCTTCTGCTTAGGAAGTTTGTCTAGGACTAATTTGAATGTGAGAGAAGTCAGAGAAACACGAGAAGCGATTAAGAGAATGTGTGAGACAAATGTCTTACACATGAATTCTTCTCTTATATGCTCACTTTAAAGTGCATCTTCATACATTTATCCAAATTTCTACTCGTTTTCCTGTCAGGCAAGTGTTCCTCTCGGGTTTATCTCCACCCAAAACTTAGCTCGTGACATGAAGATTGCCGAAGGCAACATAAAGAGATAACAACAATATATCCTCAAATGAAGTGAGATAACACCTAATTGCTTGCACATGGCGGAACCTATGGAGTATGTATAACATAATGTTACATAGAAGTATTTAAATTCATAGAAGTATCACTATGCTTACAATCCATCATATATTTCTTCCAAGTACATAAGATGTAATGTTTGTGGCAAGTAAACTTTTAAGGAGATTCTAGTGCTTTTACCAAGGATAACATCAATATTTTAATCCATTGTGAAGGCGTAATTCTGTTTCCAGCAGGATTATATTAGTTCCTTTTCTAATAAAGAAATAACAATGTCTTCAATGCATTGTCAAATATAAATTCCTTTGAAAAGCCTCTATTCAAATTTCAACCCATATGGAACAACTATATAACTCAACTGAAAATGGCGAAGAATCAAATATACGACACTCTAAGACCACTCAATTCTTTGTTTATAGTAAAATCTGTAGAGAATAGCAGAAGAAAAGTATAATTTAGGAAGTCTTCTGCTAGCCCAAGACTGTTAACTAAGATCGGAAGATTCAACTAAAGAAGAGGAAGCTGGAAAGGAGAACTTTGTTTATGGAAGAAGACTCTTGAATTGTCTTTGTTTGGGTTGTTCTTGGGTTGATTACAAATGCCTAATGTCACCCCTACTTATACTTGTATAGGGATGCTTCTTAGAAATTATTCTAGATACCTTATCTTCTAACTATGTAACAAGAATCTAGATATTTCTATACTTTACTATAAATATCTAATTATCTAGAACATCTAGATTTTTCTTAAGTATAAATATCAAAGATAATTTACTCTACCAAATTCTACTAAATATCTAAGATATTTTTGGTACCTCCATAAAATCAACTTTAATTTTTCACAAAATCAACTGCTACAAACAGCTTCACTGAAAACAAATAGCACAGAAGAAAGTGTCTGGCTGTCTGTTGCTTGGGGAAAAATTGATTATTGAAAATACTTCTGTGTACATGACATTAACATCTCTCATTTTCAGATGTGAAGTTGGCATCCAAGAGGAAGTGATAATGTGGTCCATTTTTCTGTTTATTTGGTCCCTCTTCTTCTTTTACCCATGCCTAGGCTGACGCCTTACTTTGTCTTTACTCTTTACGCATCATCTGGTGTCAGTTAAGGTCTTTGATTCTACCTTAATCGTAAAATGTATCCCTTGTACTTAGGAGGTCATACAATCAGTAAGATTAATGACTTGCTTTTGTCGAAGAATGACTATGATGATTGAACGTCTGCAATTCGTTTGTCTGCAGGTGGAGATATACAGTCGTTGTTACAAGAAACAACCTTTGGTTATCCAAGGTGCTGGAGCAGGAAATGATACCACAGCAGCTGGTGCCTAGCTGATATCCTTGACATTCAAGATTTATTCCCTTGACAGAGTATTATACACTGAGATACAAACATTTGATCCTCAAAGGACGAAAAATCGACTCTTCTTGTCCCTCTGCTTCCAGATTGGAGACTGAAATCAGGCTAAGAAAGCTCACACATTTTTTGAAAAATTTCTCGATACACGAGAGTGCCTCGTCAGTTTACAATAGATTATTACGCAATTTCTCTCGTGCATTACCGTCTCAAATGGAACAGTTCAAACTGAGTCATTTGCTTCAGTGCTGGACTAGTTTTTAGGATTTCACTTCAGTTTATAATCAGTTTGCTTTGTAATGACCATTTTGGTACACTTTTAATGTTATCACAGTTTTAGAGACTTATCTCTTAGTTATTATGCTTTCCAATGTATGAAATGATGTGATATCATGCTCATGATCTACACTTTTAAGATATCAAATAGAAAAGAACCATACAGCCAGTGTAATCACACAAATGGGGTCTGGGAAGGGAGGAATGATCAGTTTTATCCTTCCTTAAAATCTCGAAGCCAATTCCCTTGTTTGATCCTGTAACAACTGCATACTTACAAGCATCTCCCATCATTAAGTTCAAAGTTTCTAAAGTTTTAGAATCCTGCTGGGAGAAGAAAAAAGAACACTATTTCAAATGAACTAAAAATACTGAATATCGTACCGGAGTATATAGAGTTACATATAATTCATTTTTTAAATTCTACTGGAACCAAGCATTGTTATTTTCCACTTTCTTGTTAGTTTGTTTTGCTAACATGGAGAAAAGGTATTTTGATATCTATTTGATTTTTCTCTCTTTATTTTTCCTTTTCTTAATTTGAAAGAAAAATAAAACGGTGGATCGTTGTTTTCAGTTTATCCATTGGGACAGAGTTGTACATGGACCTAAATAGGACCTTCAACATAGAAAAATTGAATCAACAATATACCAAGTAGTATGCAGACCTTACCACTACTTGAAGGGTAGATAGGTTGTTTCCAATAGACCCTCGGCTCATGTAAACATAGAAAAAATAATACCTTACAGAAAGGGAAAATGGAACAGATTCCAATTCTTCACATTTCTAAAAGGTATTCATGATATGTTAGGCCCAATTAAGCACTACAATAAGCTGTTGAATTATGGCCAAGTGTATAAAGCAAGAGTAATGAATAGACATAAAGCAAAAGATACCTTCCTCTATTTCCTCAATTAGTTGAGTCATACTTTTTGAAAAGAGAAAAAAGGACATTTTTACTAATTACAAGCAAAAGAGAGAGAAAGAGCAATCACTGATCATTCTTGTTTGCAAATTACTCTTAACATTCAACAGGTAAAGTAAAGTTCTATCTTAGTAGTTGAAGATAGAAAAATTTGTCTTCTCAAAATCATTTTGTGTTTCCTTGTTTTGATTTGCAGATTTCACAAATGGAGATTGGCTTTAGCAGTTGGTGGTGCATTTCTCTCTTCAGCTTTGAATGTTCTCTTTGATAGGCTTGCTCCTCAGGGTGATCTTCTCAACATGTTTCAGAAGCATAAGCATCACGTTCGGCTCTTAAAGAAGCTGAAAATGACTTTGCGTGGTTTTCAGATTGTGCTAAGTGATGCAGAGAATAAGCAAGTATCCAATCCATCTGTGAGCGTCTGGCTTAATGAGCTTGGGGATGCTGTGGACTCTGCTGAAAACTTAATAGAAGAAGTCAATTATGAAGCTTTGAGACTTAAGGTGGAAGGTCAGCATCAGAATTTTGCAGAAACAAGCAACCAGCAGGTAAGTGACCTCAATCTGCGCTTGAGCGATGAATTTTTCCATAACATAAAGGACAAGTTGGAAGACACTATTGAAACATTGGAGGTGTTGGAAAAGCAAATTGGTCGTCTTGGCTTAAAGGAGCATTTTGGTTCGACTAAACAAGAAACTAGAACACCTTCAACTTCTGTGGTTGATGATTCTGATATCTTTGGTATTATTGGGATTGTATTATATTTGGTATTATTGGGATTGTTGAAAGGCAAAAAGATTGTAATTTATTCAACTCCAAAATCTCATAAGCTTTACATTTTTCTACTTTATGGTAATCAAAATCCAAATTTCACTATGCCTCTTTTTGACATAAACAAGATAAAGATTTAGACTTAACAATTTTAAGATCCAAATGCAATTACAGTTGCTACACGAAATTAGATAATTCACAATATTCTTCTCTCGAACTAATTTAAGAGGGTGATTTAACAAATAATTCAAGAGGGCTATTTAAAAAACAATTCCACAAATGAACCGAAATCAACATATATATTATATATTGATTCCTACTTCACGCGAGTAATCACATAATATTCGTTACCACTCACGTCTTAGCTATCAACTCACGTGATCAAATTCATAATTAGGTATCTCATTCGTTACCAGATTTCCCTAGACTTCACTGACTCCGATTTCGTCCAAATTTGGATTAGGTTAGGAAATTCCAAGTTACTACCAAAAAGTTTTCTGACCTCAATTCTTTCCCCATTGATTGTTTCCTAACGACGGAATCAGATCGTTACAGTATTGAAACTCTGGAATAGAACCATAATGAATTTAACATGATTTACTGATCTGGCAATTTATAAAATTCTAACCTACAGTTGGAAGTTGAAAAGAACTTCCAAACATTGAATTAGTTTAGGAAGATGAAAAGTTATTCTACAATATTGAATAGGCTGCAATAAGTAGCAATTGCAAGAAAATTAATCCAACCTTTTGTATACTCAAATACTTTATTGATTGTTATTAGATAAGTATGCAACGTATGTGTTCATTCTGGGGTAGTATTGAATATGATGATTTTCTTAATTAATGATAGAACAATTAATTAATTATATTTTATAATAATTTAATTTAGTGTAGGGATAAAATGGTATTTCAACTTTTCACTTTGGAGCTTCCCAATTCATTGAGAAACTTTCAATCTATACATCAACATTCAACCGTGTATATATAAAGAAAACTTGAAATTCTTAATAACAATTATATGTATATTTTTGAAAACACTATAAAGTCAATTTTTCTTTTGCATTATAATATGGATTGCACACAACAACTTCTATTGAAAAAAGGAAAGACAAAATTAGGAAAAATAGTATCAATAAATTGGAATGAAAAATGTAAAATTGTAATAAGAGGAAGAGAAGAAAAAATCAGTAGAATATATTTACCTAACCATGAATAAGGGAGCATGTGGAGTAAAAGAAGAGTAATGCAAAAGTGTGAGTTGATATATGGAGGAAGTTGACTAATATAATAATCTGTATTGAATAATAAAAAGACCACTCTTCAATTTCTGCCAAAATTTTATAACTACGAGCTCAAGATAATATAAATTTATTAATTTAATAAATGACATAAATAAATAACATACATTGTATGTATGTGTAGTTAATGGGGTAGTGAAAAAGACTCTTTCTAAAATTTCTTTTCTCTTTAAAGTATTTTTAAACTTATAATATTAGTGCTATAGAAAATCATATAAAGTCATAAGCTACTGCAAGTTTTTATAGTAATTATTTTATTAAATTATATACCTATTATTTATTTTTAATTATTTATAATCATTCCGGAAATGTATAAACTAATTTTGGAAAGCTTGTAAAATGAGAAATTATTATTTCTTATCGTTATTTTAGCTATTATTAACATTTAGTATGACAACATTTAAAAAAGTAGCCTCCTTTAAATATTAATTGTTTCTAAATTAACGTAGCAAATGCTTTGACGTTTTATTTATCTAAACACGTAGAATTTTGATTTTGAACTTGGAACATGTAATTAAGCCTTGGGTGAATTATAATTTTATTTTTTCTATTTAATTAATTAAATAATTTATAACATTTTAATATAATGAAGGGGTAAAATGGTAATCCAACTTTAAAGGTTAGAGCTTCCCACTTTTAGTAATACTAGTTTCTAGGAACGTGGCACGTTTGTCTCTTACTATGTTATAAATTTTGTACATGATTGAATTTCTGTTGGTAGTTATTCATTTCACATTATTTTTAAAAATAAAAGAAATTGCTACCATAAAGTATCCTTGGAAAATGAAAACATATAAGAAAATACTACTACAATAAAAACATATCCAATATAATCAATGTCTTAAAAAAATTTATACGTATGCATCATTACTTCTACCCTGTAAATATAGAGAGGTTGTTTACCATGGACCCTTATTTCAAGCAGTACTAAGTTTACTAAGTACTACATAAGAAAAGATTATTGAGAGACATAAGAAAAGAAAATTTATTAATATAAAATAGAATTTACATGCTGAATTTCACCTGAAATTGGAGAAAGGAAACAAAACAAAAATTGTTTCTGAGATTTACCTTAAAGGAATAGAAGATCATTGATTCGGTCTTGTAATTTGAGGAACACAAAACCTGATTGAAAGAAAAAACAAATATTGAAATGGAAAACATTATTACCTAATGTAATTATAATAATCTATCTTTTATTATCTAATGTTACTCTTAAAATTCTGCACTTTTTTGTGTCAATGTATATAATAAGCTACCAAAATTAATGGTTATATGGTACATGAAAAGTTTGATATTACAAATAATACAACAACAACAACATACCCAGTGAAATCCCACTAGGTGGGGTCTGGGGAGGGTAGAGTGTATGCAGACCTTACCACTACCTCGTGGAGGTAGAGAGGCTGTTTCCGGGAGACCCTCAGCTCAAGAATATCAAGTCTAAGTGACAGGAGAGATATATATAAAACATAACAACCAATCCAAAAGATAGTGTATAAACAACAAATGATACAATAACATCAAGAAAGTAATGTGAGGAGTGAAACGCAGTAAACAACATACGGCTAGGACTACTCCAAACGCTAACAACCCATACCCTCGCGAGGGACGGCAACACGCTAACCCTACTAACCTTCCACCTTAATACGCGACCTCCACTCCTTCCTATCTAGAGTCATGTCCTCGGTAATGTGTAGCTAGGCCAAGTCCTGTCTAATCACCTCTCCCCAATACTTCTTGGGCCTACCTCTACCCCTCCGCATACCCTCTACCACCATTACCTCGCACCTCCTCACTGGGGCGTCTGCGCTCCGTCTCTTCACATGTCCAAACCATCTCAGTCTCGCTTCCCTCAGCTTGTCCACCACAGAGGCCACTCCCACCTTCTCCCGGATAACCTCATTCCTAATCTTGTCGCTCCTAGTGTGCCCACACATCCATCTCAACATCCTCATCTCACCTTTAAGTTTCGGTGGAATTTTCTTATCACACAAAACTCCAGAGGCAAGCCTCCATTTCATCCACGCAACCCCAATGCGATGTGTGACATCATCATCGATGTCACCACTTCCTTGTATTACAGACCCAAGATACTTAAAACTTTCTTTCTTGGGGATGCTCTGTGTGGCAAGTCTCACTTCTACATCTGCCTCATCCAACGCATCACTGAATTTGCACCCCAAATATTCTGTTTTGGTCCTACTCAACCTGAACCCTTTGGACTCCAGCGTTTGTCTCCACACCTCCAACCGCGCATTAACTCTATCCCGCGTCTCATCAATCAGTACTATGTCATCCGCAAATAACATACACCACGGGACCGTCTCCTGAATAGACCGCGTCAACTCGTCCATCACCAAAGCAAATAGGAAAGGGCTTAGGACTGATCCCTGATGCAGCCCCATCTCAACTGGGAAATGATCTGAGTCTCCTCCAATTGTTCTAACCCGAGTCTTGGCTCCACCGTACATGTCCTTTATCGCCCTAATATAAATCATCGGGACTCCTTTAGACTCCAAGCACCTCCAGAGGACATTCCTCGGTACTTTGTCATAGGCCTTTTCAAGGTCAATGAACACCATATGTAGGTCTCTCTTCCTTTCTCTATATTTTTCTACCAGTCTACGCATAAGATGAATGGCTTCGGTAGTCGAACGTCCCGGCATGAATCCAAACTGGTTCTCGGAGATGGACACCCCTTTTCTCACTCTCATCTCCACCACTCTCTCCCAAATCTTCATAGTATGGCTTAGCAATTTGATACCCCTGTAGTTGTTACAGTTTTGGATATCACCCTTGTTTTTATACAACGGGACCATTGTACTCCACCTCCATTCTTCAGGCATTTTTGCTGTCTTAAAGATAACATTAAACAGCCCAGTTAACCACTTTATGCCTGCCTTGTCCATGCTCTTCCAAAATTCTACAGGAATCTCATCGGGTCCGGTCGCTCTTCCCCTACTCATCCTACTAATAGCCCGTATAACTTCCTCGGTCCTAACGCACCTACAGTACCCAAAATCCCGAAGTCTTTCAGAGTGCGCCAAATCACCCAATACAATGTCTGCTTCCCCTTTTTCATTTAAAAGTTTGTGAAAGTAGCTTCGCCATCTTTGCTTGATGGAGGTCTCTTCCACCAATATTTTACCTTCCTCATCTTTGATACACTTAACTTGGTCCACGTCGCGCGCCTTCCTCTCTCTTGCTTTTGCGAGCCTATATAACTTCTTATCCCCGCCTTTGTCCCCCAGCTCGACATACAAGCGTTCGAAAGCTGCCGTCTTCGCCTTCGTAACAGCTAACTTAGCTTCTGTCTTTGTCGTCTTATAGACTTTCTTAAGCGTCCGCTTCTCTTCCTCGTCTACACACTCCGCCAATTTTGTGTATGCAGCCTTCTTCGCTTCCACTTTGCCGTGGACTTCCCCATTCCACCACCAGTCTCCTTTATGGCCTCCAAATTTACCCCTTGACACCCCTAACACCTTAGAAGCAACTTCCCTAATGCAACTAGCTGCTTTATTCCACATGCTGTCCGCATCCCCGTTACCACTCCAAGCCCTCATCCCCATCAACTCCTCACCCATCTCCCGCGAAAGGGCAAGGGTCAACCCTCCCCATTTAATCCTCGGTCGATCAGGTACCATCTTCTTCCTCCTATCCCTCTTAATTTTCAGGTCCATCACCAAAAGCTTGTGTTGGGTAGTGAGGTTTTCACTTGGGATGACCTTGCAGTCCTTAAAGAGACCTCTATCCCCCTTCCTAAGGAGTAAGTAATCTATCTGAGTCTTAGCTACCGTGCTACGATAGGTAACCAAGTGGTTCTCCTTCTTCGGAAAGCATGAGTTAGCAATCACCAACTCAAAAGCCTTAGCAAAGTCTAGAAGCGAAGTTCCACCTCCATTCCTCTCCCCAAAACCAAAGCCTCCATGAACATCATCAAAGCCACTAGAAGTTTGTGTCCATTAAAATCTCCACCAATGACAATCTTCTCGGTATTTGAAATACCTCTAACTACCTCATCTAATTCCTCATAAAAGAGCTTTTTGGCCTCCTCGTCCAATCCCACTTGAGGAGCATAAGCACTAATAACACTCAAAGTACATCCTCCAATGACTAGCTTAATCGTCATCAGCCTATCATTGATCCTCCTAACCTCCACCACTTGCCCCCTCAAATCCCCGTCTACTAAAATACCCACTCCATTTCTATCCTTTGACCCTCCTGAGTACCACAACTTAAACCCGTCAACATCCCGAGCCTTGGAGCCTACCCATCTAGTCTCTTGGACACAAGCTATATTTATCTTTCTCTTCTTGAGAATTTTCACTAGCTCTATGGACTTCCCCGTCAACGAACTTATGTTCCATGATCCTACCCGCACGTTATGTGAACCCGTAACCCACTTACCCCTATTTTCCCTCGACCTCGGCCTCAACCGAAGACATGACTCATTACCACCATTAGATACCAAATCCACTAGAACGATACTGCAACCATAGTAAGATCTACACAGGAATACACTAAAAACTGCAACAGAAGTAAACTCTAAAAGGACAATACAACAACAGCTAAACTATAGAGTCAAGTACAGTGTGTATTCTAAAGGACACGATAACACCCACTACACTATATACTGAATCACAGGTCTGCACTATAAAAGAAAATAGGAAATATTGTTTCGGGATATAGGATCTGCAAAAAAGGGCCCAGCAACTAGATTCAGAGCAAAAAAAGGGAGAGAAAGGAAAGATAGAACCTGCTCAGACTAGATTTGGTGATCTATGGGCAATTTTCCGGCCAGATCTGGTTGATCCCGGCGACAAACAGTAGCTGCCGTCTCTCCTCTGGGCTGGTCACCGGGGAAGATAGGTGAGTTCACCGGAGAAACTGAAAAATGTTCTTGCCTTCGCCGGGGTTTGCTGTTCGCCGCTCGCTGGTCCGAGCAGCTGGAGCTGCTGCTCGTTGTTATCGTCCTCACTGGAGCTTAGGAGAAGAGAGAGAAAGAGGCTCGCCGCTCGGAGCTGGTCCTCGCGTTGCTTCTGGCTGGCGCAGCCTTCGATTTCAACCGAGAAGACCAGAGAGAGAGAGAAGAGAGAGAAAATCGTCTCCGATATTACAAATAATATATATATATATATATATAATACTTAATTAATTAAATATTTTATAATTTTGTTTATTTAATTTAGGGGTAAAATGGTAATTCAACATTATACTTTGAAACTTCGCACTTCACGCGCGTTGCACGTATAACCCATATAGTACATACACTATAGATCATACTAATTACTGCAGTATAAACATAAAGTTTTAAATGATAAAAATACAAACTGAAATTGATGAGCAGATAGCTTAATAAAATTACTTCTTTGTTGAATGAGTGATTAGATATAGTGTAAACTTGCAAAATTGAACAACTCAATATTTCATAAAGATTTAAGCTATATAAAAGATCAGGTGGAAGGTGTACCCATCAATCAAGAATAAGAAACTTGATATTAACATATGAGAATATAGTGGAAGTATCAACTCCAACAATCCTTTGTCACAATCTTCATATAATTAATATTGCTATTCTAATAATATAGCTTTTTGTCATGCTTTCCCTATTAAAAAAATGAAATATTAGAAAGACCCTAATAGGAAAAGACAATAACCTAAAATATTAACTAAGTACTATATACATGCAAAAAATATGAACAACAAATTTATAAGTTATACATACTATTTTCTTACCATTAAAAGAAATCTGGACTAATAGACATTATCCAGCTGCTTGAACTTTATCCCTGTGTGTATTTTGCAATCACATATATAGTTAAGGAAGAAGTTGAGGGGTCACATTAGTATAAGACAGGACATTAAGAGAATCAATATACTTATTGGAGAGAAGTTTGATGGTCACGTTACACGTACATCAGTTGGGGAAACTGATAATAACTCATCAAAAAAATTGACTAACAAATGGAAGAGAATTAAATGGGAGTAAAAGGAATGACGGATATAAGTTAATTTTTGTATGTTCTTTTAAAATGATTATTTAACATTTAAAGGATGTTATCTATTATTTATTTGTTGTTGACACCCAATTTTGACCCTCCCCAATATAAATTGATCATCGAGCTTTCTAAATTCTAAACGATTTGAAATAATTGACTTTGTAAAGTTCAAAATATTTTTCAAGTTACTTTTAATCAATTTTATCATTTTTATAATTTTTATGTAATATATATGCTTTATATAATTTTGTATATAATTAGTATATTCTATAAACATTTCGAAAATCATCTCAAAAAAGATTTTAAACTTTTAGTAAGTATTTTATTAAATTAGTTTAGTATAAATTATAATTATAATTTTTGAGTTATTTAAATTAGTTAGTTTATAATTGAGTTAATTATTTTATTTCGTTAAGATTAAGAAGCTTGTTAATTAATTAATATTGATTCATCTTATTTAGGTTTTCGCCGAATTTGCTAATTAACTCCATTATTGGCTAAATTATTAACTACAATTGACTATAATTGGGTCATCTCTCCAATTGCAATCCTAACCATTTTGTTGCCTCTAATCTTAGACCCTATTATTTCAACCCATTTCCTTTGCTTCAGCCCAACTACAGCCCACTATTCAACCCTTAATACCAGCCCACTTCAGCAACAATTCCTCAGCAGCCCATTCCCTTCAATAAAACAATACGTACAGCAAACCCAACATACAATACCAAAACCGACCCCACCTCCTTGCATTTTCTTCTTCCTTGCGTGTGAAACCCAGCAACTCTGTGCTGCAAAATTCAGTGAAAAATCCCAGAAATCCAGCGAGTAAATCGCGCCTGCAGCAGCCATCACTTCCTATCCCCACTTTTCCCGTTTCAGAAATCTCCTATACCTTCATTGTTGCCCTGGGTAAGGAGGAGGAGAATTCAAATTTTGAATTTCATCCTTATCCATCTTTTCAATTCGTTTTTCCCCCCTTTCTCAATTCGAATCTCCCCTATATATACCCTTGTTCTGTTCACTATAAAAGGGGAGGGGACTTTATCATGACAAATTTTATATTTTCACTGCTCAAGCCTATTTCGACATCTGCTTCATTTGCTTTCGAATGTTGAGTCTGCTTTGTTTTCAAGCATCTGTTTTCTCCTCTTTGTTTTAGCTATTCATTTTTTATTTTTTTTCATTTTAGTCATCATGTGTTAGGTGTATATTATATTAAAGCCAATGTTTCCGTTATGCTACTTGAAGCTTTTGTTTCGTTTTCCTTAGTAAAATATATGGCGGAATTCTCAGTTTCTTTCTTCATTTTGCTAAAAGTTTGAGGTTTAGCTGGCAGTATCTCTTTCACTATAAATTTCATACTCTTCTTTCCATTTGGGTTTATGTCATATGCTTGAGTTGATGTTTCGTACTTGAATGATATTTTTTTTATTCGATTCGTCGTTCTTCTCTAAGTTCTGTCGATATAGGATATAAATATGTGCGTCGCATTTATTGCTAGTTATCATACTTTCAAGTTTGAAAATGTCTTATGTTTGCTTAAAATTGTTGAAGGTTCATACCCCTGTGACTTCATTATTGGTTGCTATTACTGTGTAATCTCATTTAAGTTTTCTGCCCTCTTTTGTTTGTAGTGGGAACTTTGTTGGCACTTCAATTAATTTCCAATTAATTATGCCCAGATTTTTATCCTTTTTTTAAATATATAAATAGAAAGAGAGAAGGAAATAAATAATAATAATAAAAAGCAAGTTACAGTGATTGTTTACATTTGTGAATTTATGATTTGCACTTTGCCGTCATGTACTTACATTTATTTTATTTTCTTTTATCTTTTTTGTTATTATGTTGAGTTATTATGATCCATTTCTCCGTCCTAATCATTTCATCTTGTTTTCTTTGCATAAATTCCCTCGGATCGAGTTCTTCGGACTCCTCTTTGCCTTGTATTTTGAGCTTGGGTTGAAACCCAACGCTTTTTTCCTATTTTTCGAGTCAACCCCTGTTTACGTGGATCGTGGGGAGGCAGATATACAGGGTGAGAGCAGGTTGCGAGTCCCAAAAGCCCAAAAAGGGATTGTATACAAGATGTATACAGCTGTATACATTTAGTATACACTTATATACAGATCAAAAATGCGAAATACAGGGCGGAGGCAAAACACAGGTGTTCGGAAGCAAGAAATACATAGAAAAGGCTGATATACACGCCGATATACACTGATATACATCAGCTGTATACCAAAAACGGGAATTGTGTTAAACTCCAAAAAAGTAGCGAATTTGGCCCAAGAAAGGCCCAAATTCAATTTCTCCCTTACCCGCTAATTATTTAATTGTGATTACTTATTATTTGTTGTTTAACTCTGACTTTAGAATTTTTAATTAACTTAGTTGAATTCCCCAAAAGACGAACTATTCATCTGAGTTGTTTTGTTTCTAACAAAACTTATTTTATCAACTTTTGTATTGTCATTTATAATCTTTAGTCAAAACTTTTTCTTTTA